GGGGGCGCTTTGTTAACAGCGATGAGGGAAGGAATGGTAGGGGGCGCTTTGTTAACAGCAATGAGGGAAGGAATGGTAGGGGGCGCTTTGTTAACAGCGACACACTGAAAGGAACGGCAGGGCGCCGCGGCGACGACGACGACAGGCAGGGGGCGCCGCTGCTGCGGCAACGACGACGGAACGCCAGGGGGCGCCACTCACCTGATTCTGAGCGAGCATGAGCTGCTGCTGGAGGCTGGCGGGCAGCTGGTGTGGGTTGAGGAACACAAACTGCTGCAGCTGCTGCAGATTCTGTAGGTTCTGCGCGGTGGCCTGCAGCTGCTGCTGAAGCTGCTGCAGCTCCTGCGGTCCGAGTTGATGCAGACCCGTGATGCAGGAGACCGGCGGCACCTGAAGCCATAAACAACAGCAATGTTACACAGGGATGAAGATGAAGATGAAGAAGAAGCTCTGGACGCTCCTGCGCAGAGTGATTGCAGACCGTGGCATGCAGGAGACCGGCCGGCACCTGAAAAGCCATTACAACATCATGTCTGAGATTGAATGAAGATGAAGATGCGGGGATGCGGAGGATTGGAGGAAGAAGCCATGAACAACAACATGTTAGACTTAGCATGCATGAGGATGCAGGGATGCAGGAGGATTGGGGGGGGGAGGCCCTGAAGCCAACGTCACATGTTAGACAGGGATGAAGATGATAATGATGAAGGAGAAGAAGAAGAGCAACAACAACAACAACAACAACAACAACATTTACTACTACAACAACTACTTCGACCAGACGCAGAGGAAGAAGAACGAAGACAAATACAACCCCCTCCCTTCCCTCCCCCTCCCCACCCTCCTCCTCTCCCCACCTACCCCATCCCCCAGCTTCACCTCTGAGGTTGTGCGAACGATGGCCTGGCGTCCCCGCCCCCTCCCCGTCCCCGCCCCTCCCTCCCTCGCCCCGCCCACCCATCCCCCAACTCACCTGCTGAGCGAGCTTGTTCTGCAGCAGCACCTGGCTCACTTGTTCGGTTGGCGATCGCTGCCGGCTAGCGCCGCTCCGATCTGGTTGATCTGCAGGCCGGGCTGCAGCTGCTGCGGCGAGGTGCGCGTGATCGAGGGAGCGAGCGAGAGCTGCAACTGCCCGTTCGCAGAGGTTTTCTGTTGTATGTGGTGGTGGCGGGAGGAGGGCGTGTGCTCGTCACTCGACGAATCCGTGACCTGCGCGCGACGACGCCGGGGAGAGAACAAGAGAACGTCAGAATTTTTTGACGAATTAAAATAAAAAACGCTTATCGCTTTTTTTATGTCTAGCCCTTAGGTTTAGGCTTATGGAGCGAGGAGAGGGAGAGCGCGAGAAGGACCGCGAGGAGGAGGAGGGAGAGGAGGGAGGAGGCGGGAGGACGTCGCTCACACATCTGTAAGCTGTTGGCGATCGTCTCTGTTGCTCCTCATCTGGGACAGGTAGGAGAGGGCAGCGCCGTTGATGGCATAGGAGCAAGGTCCGGCCGCGGAGGGAGGACTGACGAAGAGGAAGGCAGGAGGATGGAGGAGGTCTCACCATCGTAAGTGTTTGCATCGTCGTACATCGGTGCTCCTCGTCCTGACAGGTAGCGAGAGGAAGGAAGTGGAAAGGTGAAGGAGGGACGGGAGGGGGGAGGAGAGGAGGGAGACAGGAGGAGAGGGGGCGAGGAGCGTCTCACCATCTGTAAGGTTTGCCAATCATCCGTCGCTCTCGCTGCTCCTCATCTGACAGGTTAGGAGGGAGGCAGTGCGCTTGGTAGGAATAGGAGGAGTGGCGAGAGAGGAGGAGGAGGAGGGAGAGGGAAGGAGGAGGGGGAGGAGGTCTCACCATCTGTAAGTGTTTGGCATCGTCGTCGTCGTGCTCCTCATCTGACAGGTAGGAGGAGGGCAGCACGTGTGGGATAGGAGGAGGTGGGAGGGAGGAGAGAGGACGGAGGGAGCGGGGCGAGGAAGAGGAGGAGGAGGAGAGGTCCACCATCTGTAACGACGGTTCGGCATCTCGTCGATCGTGCTCCTCGTCTGACAGGTCACTGATGCTGTCCTCGGCTGCAGCTGCCGTTCTGACTCTCCTTCAGTAGGTCTCCATTCACGTAACGGATCTGCAACGAGAGGGGGGAAGCGGGGAAGCTTAGAGCTCATACGGCAGACACATACATACACAACACGCACGCACGCCGACGCCACCACGCACGCACGCACCGCACGCACGCACGCACGCAGCGCACGCACGTATATGATGACTTGTTCAACTGTTCCACGTTACGAATCTGTCTATAGAGCAGGGGAAGGCTGAATATTACTGATAGGACACACGGCGTACGCACGCACGCACGCACGCACGCACGCACGCACGCACGCACGCACGCACGCACGCACATCACACACACACACACACACACACACACACACACACGACACCACACACACACCCACACACACACACACACATACAGGCACCCACACACACACACACATACATGCACGCACACACGCACTGCAATAAAACGGCGCAACAAACATATTACACACTGCAATTCACAAAACGTGCTACACGCACGTATTTTTTGAAAAAGACGCGCACGCGCGCCCCCTTCCGCCCTCTTTAAGCCAAACATCCCATCTCCTGCAGAGAGGGAAGCCAACACCAACCCCCCCTCCCCCAAAAATCCAGGGTAAAGATGGGGTTGCCGTGGCGACGAGAACAGGCGGGTAGACGACGGGGCCCCGCGCGCGCGTGCGTCCGCCCGCATCCCAACGCTCCCAGCCTCCGTCGCCGCGGCGACTCGATCAATACCAAGCGCGTTTTAAAACTGCTCGCGTGCGCACGGAGGAAAGAGTTAATCGTGCGGCGCGTGCCGTGCGGGGAGGAAAGGGTTACGCCAAGTCTATGGAGAGATGGATATATGCGGAGATGGTGCAGGAATAAAAGGGTTAAACAGAAACTAAGAAAGGATGGATATACGAGGAGTTTGTGCAGAGAGGAAAGGGTTAAACCAAGGCTACTGTGAAGTGGATGTGCATGGAGATGGTGCAGAGAGGAAAGGGTTAAACTAAGGCTTCACAAAGATGGATATATGTGGAATTTGTGCAGGGAGGAAAGGGTTAAACCAAGGCTAAAGATGGATGTATATACGTAGAGATGGTGCAGGGACGAAAGTGTTAAACCAAGGCTACTGTAAAGTGGATGTACATGGAGTTTGTGCAGAGAGGAAAGGGTTAAACCAAGGCTACACAAAGATGGATATATGCGGAGATGGTGCAGGGACGAAAGGGTTAAATTAAGGCTACACAAAGATGGATATATATATGCAGAGATGGTGCAGGGAGAAAAGGGTTAAACCAAGGCTACAGAAGGATGGATATACGTAGCGATGGTACGAGCAGAAAAGGTGTAAACCAAGGCTACGGAGAGATGAATATCTGTGGAATTTGTGCAGGGAGGAAAAATGAAAGATAGAAGGATATGCGTAGAGATGGTACAGGGAGGAAAAGGGTCATATCATATCTATGTGTGCAGGGAAGAAAGGGTTAAATAAAGGTTATATAAAGATGGGAACACAAGATTGTGCGTGCACGGGGGAGAACGGGTTCACTTGAGGTCGTAAGAAACGTCTTTCGAAACGGCTAATCAGTGATTCTTGCATTGGATGTAAGACGTGACACGTGGATGTAAGAGAGCAATATATATATATATATTGTCCTGGTCAGCTAGACGTACACTAAAACTTTATTACAGCTGACATACTCCTGTGACATACTCCTGTGGTGATCATACGTGTGCATACAAGGTGCCTACATTATTCAACTAAGGGCTGCGTGAAATAAAGATTAATATATAAATATACATAAAAGAGAGAGAGAGAGAGAGAGAGAGAGAGAGAGAGAGAGAGAGAAGAGAGAGAGAGAGAGAGAGAGAGAGAGAGAGAGAGAGAGAGAGAGAGAGAGAG